GTAAAAAATACTTGTACACTTCAAGGTACATTCATTTGGTTACTTGAGAAGGTTCCAGTAAAAGAATTGCTTTCTCTGTAAGCAACCAATGGTTTATTAGTAAGTCTTGTGACTGTTGCCTTCAGAGTATAACATGAAGGCTATTTTGTTCAAGCAACCCTTCTTAATATATAACTTTTCCATCTTGTTTTAATATCTCGCAGAAGTACACCACAAGGCAGTTTTGACAGCTCTTCTATGCCATGTAATTTTCCTCAGGCCAAAAGAAGTTTCCACTCCTGGCATCTAGGATCAGTAGTCCTCCAAATCTGTAACCCAGCTCTGAGACCCATGGCGTAGAAGGCCCCACTTTGCACCTCCTTTAGCTTTGCCCCATTCTACAGGAAGAAGAATACACAGGGCCCAAGCAGTGTGCCCACTCGAAGCCTATGCTTCATCCCCTTCTAGGCCGTGCTCCAGATACCTGGGACCATGAATTTCCCTGACCAAGTGGCCTGCAGCCCAATCCTAGGGCTTCTTCCAGAAGTCAGTCCTCCTGAAGGCAGACCACACCACCATTGGTGAATGTCCTATCCAAGGAATCTCAAGGGCTGGCTGATTGCTGGGGGTATAGATGGAGCTTGGACATGAGGCCTGAGGTATGTGACATCTTTCAAAGTCCAGGACACAGAGCCAAGGAGAGGGGAGGAAGGGAGCAGGCCTCAGACCAAGGGCTGGCTCTCTCCACAACACTATGTTCCAAAATAGGACCCAAGAAGTCCAGGAATTCTAAATTTGATCTTGGACTTTCAGATCTTCAAAGAACATATTTGCCAAGGTTGAAAGATAGAAAATTTTTTTTTAATTTGTAAGCTTGTTGTACAATTTTAAACTACATAGATAAATGGTTATATGGGCTTCTGTCTGTATTCCTGCCCCAGGCTCAACTGCAAAAGTGAATCTGTATAGAATGCTTATAAATACCCGACATTATTACACTAACATCATTACACTGATTAGATACAACAGGAACCTAGAGGGGTCTTTTCCCAGATTTTGACATAGCTAATTCACCTTTATTATTCAGGTTCCAGCTTACACACTGCCTCTCAGAGAAGTCTCCCCTAACCACCAATTATAAAATAGCCCTCGTGAATCATCTTTCATCACATTATCCTGTTTTATTTTCTTCACTGCCCTTACCAGTATCTGAAATTATTTATGTAAATTCCACCATAGCAGAGACCTTGCCTGCCTTGCTATTCATTTACAGTCTAATGGATTCTTATCTTATGCCACAGGTTATAATCTGTAACTATCATTATTTTGTGGCCCAAAATGTCCCAGATCTGGCTAGTATGTTACACTCTATCTTTTGTTGTATTCTCATTTCTCTCTCTTTTTTTTTCTTTTTGCATTTCTTTACTTTCTGGCATGACAAGATGCCTCAGTCTCTCCTCTGTAAAACAGGAATAGTGCTTATCTCCTAGGGTTGTTATAAGATATCCTTGTAAAGCAGTTAGTACAGTGCTGGTGCACTATGAGTGCTCAATAATACCCAGTATTTCATTACTGTCCTGGGCAGAGTATGGCTATATGACCTTTTATCTGTGAAAAAAAAAAGGGGGAGCTTAGAAAGATCCTTAGGGCATACAAAACATTTCCTCTTAATTGAGCAAGTGAATAGTAATATTAATAAAACATTATTTAATGCATTTCCTCTCCAAACATCTGCTTTACTCAAGAAACCTTAGGGAATGTGTAGTTGCCTGAGGAAAAAAAGGGAGAGGGGAAGAGGAAGAAAAGAGGGCTCCCATCAGCAACATGGTTGTTCAGCATCCACATCTTAGCTACCTTTAGATACACAAATGTTTTTTCCTAGTTCATAGATAGATTCACTTGTTGTAGCTTCTTTAAAGAAAAAAAAAAAGCCTCATCTACTAACAGCACTGCAATTAGTTAACTTTCGATGATGGCTTAGTTAACTTTTGGCTAACACTCAGTGGCTCATTGACATGAACCTCACTAGCTACATGGTTTTAACCATAATTTGATGAATCTCCAAAGAATGGTATAGTGACAAAACAATGTCTTTTTGGGCTACTAAAAATAACTCAGAACCTTGAAAGTGGCCATATTTTCAAAAATGTTTAAACTTTCTAGATGACAATTTTGCAATATGTGGCTAAAGTCTTAAAAGTATGTTTTTTTTCCTGAACAGTAATTACAAGGCTAGAATTTGCCTGAAAGAAATTAGAAAAGAATGCAAAACTATACATATAAGAATATTCATTACAACATTGTTTACTGTAGCAAAGCCTCAGAAAGAATCTATGTATTCAGTAACAGATGGTGGATTAAACTGTGGTAGAGCTATGCAACAGAAAAACACATAGCCAATAAAAATAATGACATAGGTCTACATTTACTGACATGGAAAGATGATTATGATGTATCTTCAAATGGATATCACAGATTATAAAAGAAAATACATAATTCCAGCTCTATTTTAGAACATACAGTATGGTTATATATATATAGTGTGTGTGTATATATATATCTACGTTATGATATATTCATGCTTAAGTAGAGATACCCGATACCCAAGTACAGAAGGATCTATACCAAAAATATTAATAGTGATTATGCCCCGTGAAGAATTTGAGGTAGTTCTAAATTTTCTTTATACTTTTTTCCCTTTCTTTCAGTTTTTATAATAAACATGTATTATTTTCACAATCACAAGAAGTTTAAATACCAATCAACCAACCATCAAGCCATAAAGAATCTCAGTATCTCAGCTGCCCATGTCTTAAGCACTGATGATAACTACCCAAACGCCCTACAATGAGAGGCAAGAATACTTCTTCTCAGGATAAAGGAGGGTCTATTATTCTAAGATGAGACAGTTGGGGAACATTCAGGGCATGATAACAGGCACAACTACTTAGCATAGCCCTGAGGTTCAGAAATGTTATCAGTAGACAGAGGAGAAAATCTTTTCCTGACCCAAGTTCTCCTTAATTGAGAGAAACAGTAAATGTAAAGATAAAATACATGCTTTGAGTTAGGAAAAAACTTACCGCAGTGGATAACCGGGATGCCAATGTCATTTCCAAGTTCCCTTTGAGACCAAGAAGTGCAGGAACTAAAATGAAAACTTCCGTTACTTTTTTGAACACTTCCCAGTGCTGTAAGAAAAAAAATTTTTTTATCTGACACTCTTTTAAAAACATTTGAGAACAAAGACATCAAAAAACCTCAGCCTTTTTTTCCAATGTTGCGTCTACATTTTGAGTAACTATACAGGTCATTTAATCAGTGAATATTTAGCTTAACTCTTCTCCAGAGTTCTGAAACCTGTGTTATTTGAGAAGATTCAGTTAGAGCTGGGAGTAAGCTGACACAGTCACCACAGCCCATACACCGAGTGTGCTACCAACTCTGTTACTCTTACATCTTACTTTAACCCTTTATGACGGCATGAGTCAGTGTAACTAGAGGCT